TTTAATTAACTCTTAAATAAATTATTAAGTAAAAGAGACATAATTTAAAAGCTCAGAATTTAATATTATTACTAAAAAATGAATATAAATACTTAATATTTTTATTTAGCGAGCATTAATCAATTAGTACGTTGTAATTTACACCTTTCCTTAAAAACATTTGTAGAATGCAGATCGAACTCAATGGGGGCAGTGATCACTAGAAACTCGGAGATGTTCAGCTCCCTCTTAAGCGACACAGAGGAACACTTAAGACAGCATAGAGACAGTCTATCGCCTCGTGCGGAGAATCGCTCAGCCGGCATACACCTAAAACCGGAAGTGAACGTGAACGCGAATTCTAGCTCTTCATCGGAAGAATACCACGAGGAGAAAGCCTCGTTGGTTAATTTGAACACCATGAAGCGAGACAAGAACGACCATTGCGAGAAAGGCAAAGAATATTACTCAACGTTTCACAACGACATCAGCAATTCGCAGTCGTTGACACAACAGGATCAGTGTTGTCCTGGCTTCACTATGACGAAAAGTGGCAAAGCTCGCAATCAGAATAACACATGTAGTATTGCTTAATAGAGGAATTCGAAAATTTATCGATCTGTTTGCCTTCTCGACGAGATCACTTCGTTTTTCGACAGTGTTCGTTGAGCGTGATCGAAGTCACAGCTTTGGTTTCGAGTAGCTCCACCACTTTTGATTAATTATACACCAATATCCTTGGAACGATCTTTGAACGTTCGAGAAGACAAAGCCTGCTTTACTCATAGTCTCTTTTGAACATGGGACTAGTATTAGTGTAATGGGATTGGTCGGAGGAAGAGTGAGTCGTTGGAAATTATCATTTAAGACATCTGCTTGTATCTGTTGGTCTGAAAAAAAGTCAAAATTTGTTTAAATAATTCTAATTGAAAGAACATTGAATTTTTAAAATCATGTTAAGCATTTTAACAGAAAGTAAAGAATTTTTTATTTATTGAAACTTTTATGTTCCTATTTTGTTTAAGACTGTACGTATTATTCATATTATGATTTATTCCTAGATTTACTATGAATCTGTAAATATACATATATCTTGCACGGATCTACAGATTTAAATCTTATATACAGGGTATTTCAGAGGCATAGGTACAAACTGTACAGACTAACAGGGCTCGTTGAAAGAAAATGGTTTTACAATAGTCAAAATATGTCAGAAAATTAATCGTTTCAGACATATTGGATTTTAAGACGTTGGAATAAGTAAATATAAATATTTTATAGTATTCGGTGTAGCTTACTCGCGTGTAGTTCCAGTTGCTTGATTTGTTCATACTATTATATAATTGTCACCTGCCAATTTATGTAATGCATTATAATATGTAAGAAGCACAGTAACAACAAATAAATGTCAAGCAAGTATATAGTACGTTATTTACCGTGTGTACATTGTAGATACATCACATACAATTGTTGCTTGATCGTAATTTAGAGCTCTCATGAATTGATTTTGTGACGTATTGGAAATACGCTGTCACACGCCGTATTAACCTTGTGTAATCGCTGATTGAAGATTATAAATTTTCGCGATAGTTCGCGAAGAGTTTTCGGTTTGGCGTTTCGTCTCCGAAAGTTCGATTGTAACTCATTGCTTATTCTAGAGAAGTCGAAATGCTCTTGGAATTGGCTGGAGACATGTCGTAACTTTGGAGGGAAACACTTTCGACGGCGAGGAAAATTTTTTCACATTTCACTGGGTACTTTTTAAACCCAAAAAATCGATTGGTGAATTCTTGAAACGTCATGTCTAATATTTAATCAAATAAACAGTCATTTACTGTTCTGTGAAATAGTTCATAAGTTGTCATAAGGTTTATCATCCTGAAAGTCATAAATAGAGGAAGAAAAGAAGTGTCTTGCCAGACTTCAGTTATCTCTTTTTTCGCAATTCTGAGTTCAGGTTTTTAGCTTATATGTTGGATTGCAATAAATTTTATTTCTAATTTTGCAGCATAATTTCGCACACATTTCGTATACGTGTTTAATGCAATAGAGAATTATGCAGTTCGATTATGAACTAAAGACCTAAATTCTGTATCTCTAAAACATTTAATTTTCGGTTACTTATTTACTTTTTTACTAAAAGCCTTTTTCTTCCTTTTAATTGATTCCATAAATCTGTACAATTTGTATCTATGCCTTTGAAATAACCTGTATAAGTCTTTTATTTATACAACTACTCAACGTGTTTAAAAAACAAAAGAGCAATAAAAACAAACGTGGATCATGGCATAATTACAAAATGACATACTTCTAATGGTATGGAGGAAATTCAGCAAGTGTGCGATTACTAATTACACTTTATTTATGTTGTAATTATTATATTTTGTTTATTAAAATTACTACATTATCGAACAAATTCTGAAATCTCTTTTAATGGAAGAGACTATTTTGTGTTTTCAAATAATTTTAAGTTTCGATTGTAAATTTTTAATATTAACTTTTTGGAAAATATGGAGATATGCTACGTATACACAAATTTTGTACGAAATTTAGTTTTCAATTGCGATACATTTGTGAGGTTTACTGTAATTTAAAATAAAATGTGTACGCAAAGTAGAATCTTTACTAGATTTGCTTATTTAAACAAATATGTCTTACTTAAAATATGTGTTTTTTAAATCATCAGACCAGATTGAATTTTAATATAAGAAATGATTGTTTATATTAGGTTAAAATAAAAGGACTTTACCCTCGTAACAAAATAACTTTTCTAATTATATGTACCATGTGAGTCGAACAAGTTATGCAATTCTTTCTATACGTATACTTACATACCTACATTATCAAACTTTTAGAACTTATATGTATATAAATATGCATATACGAAGATAGAATCGACTATTTTAAAAAATTATTTATTACAAGTATCTAATCAAGATAAAAATAAAAACTGATTTTGTATAACAGTTTAAGTTACTATTTAAAAGTACTTAATTTTTTCAATACTGAAGATTAGAAATTTATATAAAAGAAATATCCAACAAACGTTAACAAAAAAATAGAAGAATACATCTATTTCCTTTTCAATATCTACAAGGCCACTCGTAATTTTTAACATCTTTCTTTTTTTTGACAATATATGGAAGTCATAAACACTGTCTTTCTGCCGTTTTACATATCTGTGTGTGGATGGAGATTCCAGTACAGATATATGCAGGATGGGAATCAGAATTTATTTAATGAGAATTACTCTAATTAAAGAAAATCCCCATATTCCCATGGCCAGGCAACTCCCCCGATATGAATCCAATTGAGAATGTCTGGAGTATGCTTAAAACACTTGTATACATATACATATGTACCTACATCACCAGTCGCACATTAATTGATTTAAAGAAAAATTCTGGATATTTGGCAAAATCGTCCAAAAATAAAGGACATGATAAAAAAGTGCATACAGAGTATGCCGGAAAGGATACGCGCTGTAATCAAAGTCAAAATCGTCCAAAAATAAAGGACATGATAAAACAGTGCATACAGAGTATGCCGGAAAGGATACGCGCTGTAATCAAAGCAAAGGGGGGGAAACGCAATTTATTGATAGATATGTATGTAATATGTATGTGTGTACTTCAGTAGTTAATAAAAATTATTATTAAATCACGTTCAAGCCTTTAAATTATACTAAAAATTCGAAAGATGTTGAAAAGTGTGAGTGACCCTAATTTTTGGCCAGGGGCTGTATTTGTTTTATAAGTAATAAAAAATAAATGAATTGCCAATTTATTGTAAGAAATGTTGTCGAAGCACTTTCTATGATTATGAATATTACGCAATGATAAGCAAAGTGTTCAATAATAATTGAACAATATATCTCATATATTGTTACTCGCTTTAAATGACAGTTTCTAGCGACTTACCTCGTATATAAAAATTTGAACAAAACTTAAAATCAACTACATACGTGTGTTAAGTGAAACAGGTATTCTGAAATTTCTCAGGATTGCATTTAGAAGTGTCTTAAATAAAATATATAATATTTTCTTGTTACATAGGTTAATCTTGATACGTATATCGAGTATTTCACAGTGAATAGGACGATAATATTGCAGATAAATTAGATTATACAGGATATTCACTGTGTGCAGTTTCTCCAGTTTTTCGGAAACTTTCTCAAATGCAGTCTCTATTTTATGAAGATAATTCATTGTATAGATGGTTTTAAACTTATGAAATGTAGGAAAAATTTGTTATTGATTGATAAGAAATTTGCGAAATGAATAAAAATTTATGAATTAAACAACAAGACGAAATTTAGTTTGCTTAATAATTGAAGTCTATAGGTTTCAGTTCAAAATTACTTCAGCAATTTGCCTGTATTATAATTAATTTTATCAAAGCATTATTCATGGCTAGTCTTACCAAATGCTATTCACACTGTACCATAATATAGTACCTCATATAGTATCCTTGACTATAAATGACGTTAAAACTTTCGTGTAGGTATGACTTGCACTTGATATTTTCAATTAAATTAAGATTACAAATACAGTTAAATTTACATTATAAAACGATTCATTTTTCAAAGCATTTGGAACGTAAACAACTATAATTTATTTAATAAACGTTCACCACAAGTAATTATTACTTATTATTGTTTCATGAAAATCACAAGCCAGTATGAAATGAATAATTATAGCGAGTAAAGATACATAAAGGATCTTCGGAAAATTTTTATTTTAAGAGTTACTTACGTGTGTACAGTGGGTCAAAAAAATATTGGCACACACTTCAAAACAGAATAACTTTTTTAAAATTGGACAAAACAACTTGAGTTTTTTTTTGATAAGTTTAAAAGGATTAGTTTACTAGATGACGTGCAAAAAGATTGTAAAAAATTTGCAAGTGGTTGGAATCGCGAAGAAAATATAGACGGTCCCTTTTTACAACTTTTTTATCTGTGCCCGCAATGAAAATTTAAAAAATACGTTTTATAGATTTATATCAGTTATACAGGGTGTCTCATTTGAAGTTTCGCACGCAATTATTTCCCAAACTGTAGTTCATTTCAAAAACTGTTTTGGGGGGGTCTTATGGTGGTCATAAATCTTATCTAGGTGGACGTGCTTCGGAGATTTTAAGATGACCCTCGTTTCTTTACACGGAACTACATATATGTTTTTATTTAAGCTGACCTATAGCCCATTCCGAGACGAATTCATTGACCTATAACACTTTGGTCTTTTAAGGTGGTTGTTAGGGCTTGCGGTTGATCTTTCGATCGTTCAAGCTTTGCCGGTTTTTGCACGTGTGTGCCGACTAATGTTCTAAGGCTTCGAAGGACCAATTTCTTGATTGAAACACTAAGTTTTTATTTTATGTTCTATTTTCTACAACTAATTCAAGATATAAATTCTACTGCGAAGTGAGAGGTGTTTCTCTTGCGAGTGGCCAAGTGTTTCTCGCGAGTGGCCAAGTGTTTCTGCTAGAGTCTCTGCGGTTTCCCTCGGAATCTCCGCTTTTCTAGGCTTTGTTAAAGTCAAGTGGCCCATCGACGTTGGCAAAAGTCGTGGGCCACTTTTTTATTTTCCGTT